AAAGACATAGCCCTTCACACAGCATTGCGTGTCCTCTAAAACACATCTAACGCTCAAGTGCAGCACACAAGACACATAAGCATACTTCAGAAGACGCAGACATCACACAGAACATGTCACCTGCAAGCGCAGCCTCACCTGCTTCTGTCCCACATGTTCTTCCAAGCTTCAAGTCCTTAACACTGATTATTTTTAGAGGCACCATGCCATTTTCAGAGTCCTGGCTGATTCATCTGCCTCATTGCCTTCGCCTTATTGGTTTATCTACTCATGTATCTTTTCATGTATTTATTTATTCCTCCATGTATTTATTCCCCACCTTGTTCAAAAATGGATATAAGGTGGTTTAAAAGAATACACAAAATACAATATGACAGCACAAATTCAAAGTAAGTAAAAGACAAAAAAAAAGAAAGATAGGAATATAAAATGGAGCCTGGAAGAAAGCTAATACAAAGTGCACACATACCATAGACTCCCATTACAAGTACTACGCATGGGCCGCACATTTGGCTCCAAGCTTTCTCGTAGCCAACAAAAGAAAGCTGATCAGTCCCACACTTCACAGGGTCCAGAAAATAAAATCAAACCACTTGTTTAGGATATCCTTTTCCTGATCTAAATTCTGAAAACTTTTCTATAGTGAAGTATCATAAAATAGTGGCAAATTGTCTCTCCTAATTTGCTCTAACACCAAAATTCAGCTCCTGGAACAGTCTCCAACAAAGATAGAACCTCAGTCTTGAAATTACATCTATTACTTCTTACTTTTCTTCTACCTGTCTCTTGAAGTTCCATTTGGTCAATGAAATGTAGTTAATAAAGAGACTTTTTAAAACAAACAAAAATCTCTGCTGTCACCAAAGCAAGTACTTTCATTTAACTAAAGCAATAGACATTGTGACATTATTTAAAACAAAAATTTGGAAAGAACTTCAGATACCCAACAAAAGGAAATGGTTAAATAAACCATGATGCCACTACATGATGAAATATTATACACCATCAAAAATGATATTTATAAAAACTTTTTAAAAATGTAGGAAAATATTCATGATAAAAATGTTAAGTGAAAAAGCAGGATATAAAACTGTATGTGTTATGATCTTAACTATGTAAAAAAGTATATGTGTATATATAGCCATAAAAAAAGTCTGGAAAGAAATCCACCAAAATGTTAACATTGCTTCTGAGGTTTGTGAATATGGGTGATTTTTATTTTTTTGTATACGCTTGTCTTTACTTTCCAAATGTTTGCTATTGCTGAACAATTTCTATATGATGAGAAGAAGAAGGACTAGGAAGAAAAACATCAACCCAGTTAGTTATCTTTGGCTTGCGAAATTATGGGCAATTTTAATTTTCTTTTCAAATTTTCTATAATTGACATATAAATTCTTGGTAGGGACAAAGTTACTTAAAAAAAGAAAGAAGAATTCTAAAATCTAGTTTTTGGCAGTTTGTTTTTAAGGTCCAGAATGACACAAGTATAATAACACCTCACAATTATTGAGCATTTTTTAATTTTACTTTTAATAGCACTCTGGTATTTAGAATTACATTTGATTATCAAAAATACTTTGTGAGGTAGGCCACGTATTAATATCTTCATTTAACAGGTGATGAAACTTAGGCTTAGAGAAAGTAAGTGACTAGCCCAAAGTCACAATAATCAGTAGCAGAGCTGAACTCAAACCCAGGTCTCCAGAACCCAAGTCCAGTGCTCTTTCCATTCATTCAAGACTGACTGTGGCAAAACTCAAGCAGTCACCAAGAGGCAGAAACACAGAAACAGTAACCCCTCCTTACCTATGAGGGTCAGGTTCCTGAATGAATCCCAAGGTAGGAGAGTTGGGCTGAGGAAATTATGATTTTAGGAGGTAAAAAAAAGGAGGCAGGGAAAGTGAGGTCACATATGAACTCTTGAAGGCCCTCATAAATATTTTTTTGTGCAGTAAAACAAAGCAATAACAACAGTACATTACATAAGAATAACGAGAGTTTACATAGCTTAAATTAGTAAAAATGATAGGCTCTACATAGTTTCCATTTAGATCCTGAGATGATTTCCAGAGGTGATGCGAATGTACCATTCATTATGGCAGTGGAAAATGGGGGTGACAGTGAAGCAATGAACAGAGATGGACTATTAGTTCAAATCATGGATCTGCATGGTCTCAGAGTCATCTAAGTCCAATCCTGAAATTGTAACAACTTGCTGTTGGCTTTAGCCCTATCAAGCAAGTGAATTTAAGTCACATGACTTAATGACTTTGGCTCTTCTGAAGATGCTGTCTTCTCAAGTCTTTTTTGAAGATACCTTAGCACTTCTGTATAGAATTCAAATTAATCATTCAAGCTTTGTCCGAAGACAGCTTATCAGCTGTCCAGCACGGGTATTTAAATGGCACTACTTGATGATTCAGGCTCTTCTGACGTTGCTTTCTTCCCAATACGGTGTTGTAAAAAGACTCTTAGGCACCTCTTTATAGAGTTCAATTAAATCAATTCAAGTTTTGTCTGAAGGCAGCTTAATCAGCTGTCCAGCAACAGAATTAAATGGCACTACTTGATGATTTAAGTTCTGCTGAAGATGGTTTCTGTTTATTGTGATTTTTTTTGAAGGCATCAGAGCACCTCTTTATAGAATTCTGCTAAGTTACTCAAGCTTTGAACAGGTAAGATTTGACATGTAGAGGTATCAGTTTTCATTAGTTTCTTGGGGAGGTTTTAATCCTGATCTAAAAAATTTGCTCCTTTTGCTTATAACTGTATTTGTCTCCAGTCCCATAGCTTCCTAATTATCTTCATCATCACTTATGGTAATCACCTCTGGGGTACTGGAAGCTTCCTGAGAGTCATCCCCTAGCAGCAACACATCACCTGAATTAGCGTCAACAGGCTCAGATTCAACTTCAGCCAATGACTGCTCCTGCACCAAATGTTCATTCTCATCCACAGGTTCTTCTTGATCCAAAGATTCTTTGTCTTCAGGAGGAACCACTGAAAGTTACTTTACCATCTCTAGCCAAATCTTCTGCCAGGTCACATTAATGAAAGGCTCTGTTAAACTATCTAATGCCTGTTTTATTAAGAATACAGCATTAGTGATGGTGTAGGAATCCCAGCAGCACTAGGATCTACAGACAAAGGAAACTTTGCGAGATTTTGAACAACAAAGTTATATATTAGTTTGGCATAAGTCTTCTTGAATGGCTGGATCAAGTACTGACCTAAGGGCTCAAGGATCTGAGACATACGACTAGTTATAAAGACAACCTTAACATTAGGATGCACATTGGCAACTGCATCTGAGGCACCAAAAGGACTGTGAAGAATCAGCAGGACTTTGAATTCAAGATTTTTTTCTTTTAAGTGGTCTTGAACTTCCACAAGAAAGCACTGTTCAAGCCATTCCTTAAGGAGAGGAGTCTTCCAGGCTTTTCTGTTTGCATGCCAGTACACCAGAAACTTGGCTCAGGTTTTTCTCCTGAGAAGATTTGGGCGTAGTTATCTGTAGGGCAGCAATGGTTTCACTATGAGGTCAGCTGAAGTAGTGGCACAAAACAGAATTGTCAGCCTTTCTGTTTTTGCTGAACTCATGTCAGCATCAGTTGGCTCCTGCACTTCAAAAGGGCAAGCGGATTATTCAAGGGCTTCCAAAGCATGGCGATCTCAACAGCATCAAAGATTTGTGCAGGCACATAATCCCCTTCTTCAGTCACATGCTGGATTTGTGGCAGATACAACACAGGAGCTACAGGATCTAGTGGTTCTTTCCCCAGTACCACTGTCACGTAAGACTTGGTCTCTAGGTCATGGCGCACCATAAATTTCTCAAACAATCTCTTGCTCCCGGCAAAATTTTTTTCTGGATCCACTTCAGTGTCTGAAAATATGTCTTCAAAAATTCTTCTTGCATAGTCACAGATGCCTTGCATGGACAGTGTTTTGTTATTCTTTTGTTTGTCTTCAATCCAGACGTTTAACATCATTTCCATCTTTTCTATCCTTGGGTTATGAGGGATAGAGCATCTCTTAAGCGACGTAGGTGTACAAGAAGCAATACTGGCCCTAATAAGAGTTTCAGCTTTCCTTACGGTACAAATTATGGATTCATTAACACCATATAAATGACCTACAAAGCTATTTGTTTTATCTTGAAGAAGCAGATCAATAATGTCCCTTTTCTCTTCTAAAGACATCACCCTTCTTGCCCTTTTGGCAACTTTCTGTGGTGCCAGTGTCCTTGTACTTGATTTACTCTCTTCTGCCTCAATAGTCACATTTATAGAAGTCATGTTCAATTATGCTAATCAATGCAAGCTGACAATTACTTACTAGAGATTTTATATTCCCCAGATTTACAAAGTGTCAGCATATGATATTTAAGCACCAAATGGTATTATGAACAACACAAGGATAAATGATAATATATTTTTGTGATAGAGCAAATAGGGCTGATTGCGGAGGGGACAACTGGCAGAAGAATGAGAGAAGAAACAAATGACTCAGAAGTTTCTTCCTACCTTGTGATATAGTAAGAGAAACAATAATGTGGCAACTTGGACTCACTCCCGTATACTCAATTCAAAATTTTCACATTTGTCAAAAAGGTATACAGAAGTAAATCCACCTATACTCAAATTTAATAAGGACAACTTGCAGTTAGGAAGCGATTACTGTAAATTCTCTAAGTTATCAGAAAGAAAGTCACTCTTTATATATTCAAGATAGTACTGTTGCTATGATTTCCCTTGGCTTAACACTATAAATTTAATTTTATGTGAAAGACAAATACAGCATAAGTGTATTTTCTGTAAACCCACAGTAAGTCAACCAAATATTATTCTCTGACAAAATGCAACCTCCGAAGATGTAGATGTAAAGGTCAGGCAGGCTCTGAATAGCCAATGCTCAATAAATGACTACCCAAGAAAGAAAGTGACAATGAAAGAGTAAACCAGCCCCTTTTCAATGCCCGGCCACTGATACTTTACTTTTATCCCCTCCTCCTGGGAAGATAGAGCGAAGCCTGGCTTTCTTATTCTTCTCTTCAGGGGCCATGGGAAGTGGTTTGGAGCTGTGGTTGAGTGCTGAAGAATCCCGGTTGTTACTATTCATCCTCAGTGGGGGAGCAGGGGGTTTCTCTTCATTATCCAGACCGTCAGACATTTTTAGTTACAACTGATTGCACAGCTCCTAAAGAAAAGGAGGAGAAAACAGGTGTTAAGAGAGGAGAGGTCTAAAAATAATCTAGTAAACATGGGGATTCTAACACCTTAGAAACGAAAAAATTAGTCTCACATTGTCTCAGGTTTTGAATTGACTATTTTGAGAGGTTTCTTTTCTAGAGATGAGGGAGCTGCCTCCCTAAAGACCAAGGATGCAATTTCCCAAAGAGGAAAGTAACGGCAATAATTAATGGCTTTTCAATATGTATACACAAACACATAAGGTCCCTTCATTTTCTCACAATGAAACTCTATTTTCTGCTGTCCACTCACAGTCTTTTTAATGAACAATTTACAATCTTTCTTCTTTAAAAATTCTATATTGATGATCATCATGGTCAGGTAGCACAACCTCCTTGGAGTCTGGAATTGACACAGGTTTGGCTGTTGATTTTTAATGGTCCACAACAATGATTTGTTAGCCACTTTGACATTGGGATGCCTTTGGTATCTGATTCTTACCTGTGTGTATTTGATTTACAAAACACACTCTACTGTTTTATGGGGAAAAATAAACTAAGAAACAATCTAATAGACCTGGCAGTTTCAGCAGTGGGGTGTACTGATAGGGGAAACAATGCCCATCTTCAGGTAGCAAGTAGAAGATAAAGGCAGGCCAAATGTCACCATGAGCAAAGAGGAGCTCCAAGGAGAGGACCACTTCCTGAAGAGGCACCATATCCTTTCTCCTTGTCACATTTTATGTCCTGGAACAGGGAACAAGGGAATTCGCAGGGGTAACAGGGTTGTAAGAAATAGTCTTGGTTTTAGCAACTTATCTGCTCTGAATTTTATTATCCTTTAGTATCTTATTCTTACAGCTGAATACATTCAGCTTTCATCCCACTGGGAGGGTAAAGTGAACTGGAAAAGCATGGACGCCCCAAGGAAATGTCTCTGTTTCCAACTATTTTCCTATTCTAATTCAAGTCTTTCATTAGAGACCTGACACTTGCCATCACAAGTTATGTATTAAGAGTACTTTCCCAGTGAATCTCCAGTTTGAATACAAGGAAAATTAAATCGCATTTCAACAAAATCTCTGTAAATTCACCAAGTATTAACTAGCACTAATTTAGGAGCATAAGAGCTCTCCAAACACGACTTAGCATATCACTTTATTCCAGTAACAGTTACTATAAACAAACCTAAGTACAACAATAACAAAAACAGGGGTCTCCTCATTACCTGCTGTAATGAGAAATAATCTATCATAATTCTTTTTAGCTCTTTAGTGGTTACAATGTGTTTATTTTCAGTAATGAACTCTAAGTTGCATCATGATATGTGGAGAATTTGAAATATTTTACTATGTTCTAAATTCTCTCAAATATTTACAGCCTGTAAGTATTCAAGAATATGTTAGTATCAATTAGTAGTTTCTCCATCTGCACAGGTGACTGCCAACTAACAATAATTGGCTTGATCTTGATTTGGACAAGAGATCTCTTGTCTTTTCCTTTGCCTGTTATGCCTTGCATTATTTTAATGAATTAAGACCAATTCTGTATTTTTTTAAGTAATCATGATAGTGAAAATACTTGGTAATAAATGCTTTGTCACCGACGACAATTTGATAAGCCTCACATTTTCCTGTATGGGTACAACTATAGGAAAATGAAAGGAAAACTATAGGAAAATGAAAAAGTAAATGTGATGTCAAGGATTGAGTATATTCATAGATACTTCTGGTACCAGTAAATATTTTAACTAGCATATGAAACAAGTGCTAACGGGCCTGCATTCCTTTTGTATTTTGATTTTGGTCCTTCTAAATTCACTGTTTCTCCAGAAGAAAAGTGAGTTTAAGACTGACTTCACCAGTGGCATTATTCTGTGTTGGACAGGTTCATGGTTTTTAATTTAGTGACTGAGAAGAATTTGACACCAGAAACAATGCACTAACTTTCTGTTATTTTTTTGTTTTGTTTTACTTTTCTGAGTTCAATAATAATGCCTGGGTGATTATTACATAAATTTCGGATATATAAAATATAGCTTGGTAAAAATAATGAAATTAGAAAGTTATTGCAAAAGAACTGAGGATTTAAATAGAAATACCCAGAAGATAGGTTTCTGAAGAATGTGTCTCATAGGGAGAGAGAGCCACCATATTCTGGATGATACATATTTTCTGATGACATATTACTTAACTTGAGATGACAAAAGTCAGGGAAAAATGCGTGGCCTCTTCAAAATGATATACAAAGCTGATCTTGTGTAATAAGGCAAGTAAGAGTCTGGGCTAGTCGGGGTTCTAGTGCACCTACATAATTTAAAATACTAGGCTCCTTTGTTCTTGATAAATAGCTATGGCCAACGGAGCGGCCTGTTTTGTTCCTAATTACACTCTCTGGGCAGACACCTTATTTGACTAGGTATATTTTAGGTCTGGAAAAAAGGGCTACTTGGGATATAAAACTCAAACTATACTCTCCTATATTACACTAGAAATCCCTGATCAAAATTTCAACACCACATACTTGCTGTGGTCCATACCACAGGCATTCTCCAAAGGACTCAGCTTATATGGCACACCCTTCTACTGCCCAGCAAACTGGAATTGTTTTAATTCCATTCAACTCATCAGGGGATTATAAAAGGAGCTGGAATAAACCTTTCACAGAGACGGAAATGAAATTTAAGAATCTTTGTCCAGTCCCACAGCAAGAACATGAAGCATGAACCAAATAATCACTCAGTTTACCTAGACATTTCAGATTTGGTTTTGCTTGAATTATCCTGATATTACTTCAGTTCTTTATTACCCTTTACAAGGCATAACCAATCTTCACTTTTTTCTAATGATTCCAGATAATTCTGACGTGATGACAAAGGCATGGTGCAGGAGGTTCTTGTTATCTTTAACTCACCTTCAAAGCATGTGCTTCAAAGCACACTTTTAGAAAACCGGTTGATGAAGAATGGGTAGAGACCTGTAAGGAAGCCTTGCTGTTAATCTATTTGTTTCCCAAGTGGGAGGTGTCTCCGACTATTTCACAAACATAGAAAAAAAGGGGGATTCTATTATGTTATGTTTGTAAACAATGCCAATTTACTAAGCCGGGTCCCTCCTCTGAGACTGCTTTCTACAAAGGATACTATTAATGGATTGCTGGTTCAATTTGCCTATGATGTCATTATTTCCAAGATCTTGAAAGAGACTATTTTGTTTGGGGTGGCTGGAGGCTCTATTTAAAGAACTGTACAAAAGCATCATTATTCTCTAGGAACCCAATCAAAAAACTGTTTATCTTTAAAGTTTAACTGTTGTCGTTCACTTCTGCAACAGAATAGAAACTTGCAAGTGAGTGGCACACTGGATCTAGCCACAGGCCATTCATTTCCCTTTTAGAACTTGGCCCTTAGTATTGTGGAGAAACAGCTAACTTTAATGGACAACTAGCAATAATTTATATCTGTTCACAAATTGATTGCATACTTGGCTACTAGGTTTTTCAGAGAGAATTCAAATATCTTCTGTGGATGGTGTATATTTTTGATCCAGCCCTTGGGACTTAATGTGGTTTACCAAGGCTCTGTAATTACAATTGAAATTCATCAGCAATAAGAAATGAGCCTCTGGTCTCATGATAACCAAGGAGCCTGAACATCCCTTTTTCAGAGTCCTAGGAAAGATTACTTCTTTCTTTCCCTCCCTCCTCATCTTCCTTTTTCTCTCTCTTCCCCTCGCCACCAAAAAAACTGCAACGGCATATACACACAGGCGCATACACAAACACACACAGCCCTTCACTGCCTTGCCTTTTGACACAGAGATTACTGCAAAGCATTTTAGAGGAAAACTTTTATCAAGATGCATGGCAACTTTAAGTGAGCTGATTAAGCATTATAAACAATTTTCATTGTTCTCTCATTCCTCCAAAATGCATTCTCTTAATAGTGCAGTGCCAATCTACACATCCAGAGAATTCTCAGTAGGTTAAAACGGAAAGCAACCAACTTGCATGTTCCAGGAGTGAAGGGGAAGGATAAGTAATCAGTCATACTCTAGCTAATGTGGCCAAAATTTATACTATGGTATATGTTGAATTGGATGCAACCAAAAATGCCAAATGCACTCATTTCCCACAGGTGCTCTACCCAGGTGTGTGAAGGGTGAGACTCCAGAAACACTTGCCCTACAACTTGCAAGGGCATCTATTAAGCCATAAGCAACTGAAATATTTTCACCAGATACGGTGCCATCAGAGACAACGCACATGTATTATTGTCTGCTTTCAAAATCTAAATAACTGTTTATTTGCACATTTTCCCAATGAGAATCAAACTAATACTGGCCTCCTTACAAAAACAAAAGCCCAGGCCAGCAGATGCACAGCCAAGATCTAATAAACCCAGAGGTAAAGTTCCTAAACCACCAACCACACAAAGCTATTACTACAAATCAGTGAGCACACCAATATTGCTTAATAGCCTTTCCATATCAAACAGAGGATATAACACAGGAATGAGATTTAGCCTAGAGGAAATTTCCAGGGTGAACTTCCAGGGTTAACTATCTCACATTAGTTCATGTGAGATAACTACATGAAAAAATAGGGTTGCAAGACACCTTGAACTGATGAGATGACGGCTAAACTAAAATGAGCACATATGAAAGAAGATGGATTTTAGGATCTTAGAAATATAGTAAACAAGTCAAAGAACTCTCACTATGTTAAAATGAGTAACAAAACATGAAAGTATTTTGGGGCCGGCTCAGTGGTGCAAGTGGTTAAGTGCGTGCACTCCCCTGCGGCGGCCCGGGGTTCGCCAGTTCAGATCCTGGGCACGCACCGATGCACCGCTTGGCAAGCCATGCTGTGGCGGCGTCCCATATAAAGTAGAGGAAGATGGGCATGGATGTTAGCCCAGGGCCAGTCTTCCTCAGCCAAAAAAAAAAAAAAAAAAAGAGGAGGATTGGCAGATGTTAGCTCAGGGCTGATCTTCCTCACACACAC